AAGTCCGTTTCAAAAATTAGCGTTCTTATATAGAGTTGTGACTGTATGGGGTGTGACTGTAAGGAGGTCTGACTGTATTATATTGCTGAATGTTATAATATGTCACCGGAATCTTTGACCGAAGACTTTATTTCAGATCATGGTAGACATGATCGTATGAAATAGTTCAGAGCTTTCCGGAAATTGCGAGATGCTAGAACTAATAATAATGAGTCAGCAATTAAAGCCATGTGAAGATTTTAGGAACGACAGGCTAACCACTGTTACCCAAGTTGAAATAAATATAAAGCTGATATTGTTAAAACACGGTTAGAATCACCTGAATCTATAAAATGGCACGAGTTTTTGATAATACAGATTCATCCCGACGTGCTAAAAAATCTGGATTAAAAACTCTTAAAGCAAAACTTGCGTTTATTAAATTCGGCACTTTATGTGGTTTATGGTATAAAACTTAAAGGTACTAATGACAAGCACACACATTACCACATAGTAGGTATGTTCGATAAAGAATGCGCACCAAGTCGCAAACGGGTGAGGATTGGAAGAATGGAGAAGATTGGCGATATTCTTATAGTAAAAATCTCACCTGATGAACTAGAGATTGTTCCCCGTTCTGACATACAGTATTGTTTGACGTTTTATTTATTTAAAGTATATGCTAAAACAATAATTTTATGTAGAATAAAAACAAAATTCAATTTGACGCTAAGCCAATAATGGACAAGTCTTAATGAATGAAATACAAGCGTCTGAGTGTGACTAGACGCGCGCTTGCGCGTCTACATGACGAAAGATGGTACTACCATTGTTTATTGTTTCTGAAAAAAGAGCAATAGTTTTAGTGCGATTTGCCAGATGTGTTTTATAAAAACTTGTAACAAGTAACCGCAACCGCTATGACAACGTTAGCGAGTCATTATAAATTTACTGTTTCTATAATATAATTAGAGTCATCGCGAGTCATGCTCTACGCGTTCACCATAAATCATTAAAATAGACGGCAAAGAACCTCTCCACATATCTGAATGCATATATACCGATAATTCCAATTTCGTAAGAAAAATACCATATGAAAAAAGCAACGAGGGCAACAACAACAGCAGCTTTTATACTCCTAGACTCTAATGCGATCGACTTTACTCTGTGATTCGCTTTACTATGACTCTGCGCTTCTTTAATCTTTTTCATCAATTCATCGTCTAGTTTACCAAACTTCTCTGCCGTCTCCAACTCCACAAGAGCTTCTCTATATTTCTTTTGTTCTAATAAAATACAGCCTACCAAAAATATTCCTTATTAGTGAAAATATCCTCGTATCAATGGATAGCGGCATGCGGCTTACCTTTTCTATAATGTCCTTTAGGCCATTTATAGTCTAAATGTATACATTTATCAGCGTATACAAGCGCTTTATCATATTGACCCATTTTCAACAACACTTGCGCTTGATTCGAGTTTGCCAATAGACTGTCAGAATCCACATCGAGAGCCTTGCTGTACTTTTCATAGGCCTCTTGATATTTCTGCATTTTGTATAGCCGATTGCCCTCTAGTCTCAATTCCTCAGCTTTGGATCGGTTATCGATACTCTTACTGTCCCGCATGTTGTCATCTTCCGAGTTATCCTTGTTGTATTGCACGCGTACCTTCTCTAGTTCGGCTCTTTTTCTCATGGCATCTGCTGCTTTATCGTTCTTTTGTTGATAAGTAGGCACTTTGAGTATTTGGGTGATTCAATAGTGAATATACGCATCTGTCATGTACCTGTCCTAATTCTTTATAGCATTTAGCCATCCTAATATATGCTACACTATGTATTGTCGTACAGCCAGGAGCAACGCCCTCGTCAGCGGGTTCATTTGGAAGTTTCAATATTTTTTCGCCTAAATAACCGATCAAACAAAGCGTATCAGATACATGACAGCTAATGCAAAATGACGTAAACTCTATGCTTACCATCAACTAACGCTTCTTTATATCTTTTTAACTGTATTAGACTGATAATAGTAACAAGTCTGCGTAAGAGAATTAGTTGCTTGTATTGAAGAAAATGAATAATGATTGATAGTACCAAGTGCATCTACTCAATAATGGTATTGGAACATCAGGAAGTCTGGTTATTAGATGGTCGAATACTGTGACAGCTTCCTCCAGATTATTCTCAGCCAGCAGACGCCCTGCCAGTTGAAGAAGTTCTTGTCCGCTTTTTTTCTCCATTTACGTGCCGCTAAAAACATTCGTTCGGGTCGTTAATATGAAAATTGTACATGACGTCACAAAATGCAGGGGTCGGTTGATATTATCTACATACTAAGTAGTAATAGCAATTAACTATTATAATTAAGACTATTGCTATTCCCATGATTTTTTCTTGTGTTACTTATAACTTATGAGGGAATTTGTTTCCTAGTAACAATGGGAACACCAGTGACGGAAAAGTAGAATTGCTATGTAGACGTTGATCGTAATCACTTATCAGGAATGTAAATTGAATGAGACATCGTTTGTGTTATTTTCCCACGAAAGTCATGCGACTGCGGCCGCAGCAAAAAAAGCCAATATTATTATATATCATATTACATAAATAAACCGTTTGAACTATATTTTTTGCTGCCTTTTTGTTTTGCAAAATGGTTGCGATTCCTTTGCTATCCAAACTCCCTGTTGAGGTGGTTCTCGACATTATTATTGCTTTTGAAGGCGACACTGTTGATAAACTCTGTCTAATCGGACACATTAATCGATATCTACGCAATTTATTACTCTGTCGGACTATATTCTGGAAACGCATTGATTTGACAAGACATAAAGACAAAGCGCCAGACGCTCTTGTACATATTTTAAACATTCTTCCTTGTAAATCACTGAAGGTTTGTTAATCTGAGAATTGATATGATCATGTGCTTTTAGATTTATAATCAAGTGATTTTATTTGATTAATTTAACAACACATGTTTGACAGGCTGTTTCTGCTATCATTCTCGATGGTACGGTAGTAAAGGATTTCCACGTACAAATACTCTTGCCGAGATTTCCGAATCTACGATTCCTGAGTATTCGTGAATGTCATAAATTGGTGTTGGAAGATTTGCATGAAGTGTTTGAATGTTGGAAGAAGCACAACGTGACATTTCCAAATTTGAATGAGATTGATGCGACAGGGACTAATGGTAATTCTTATCATCGTTACGATGATCACGCTGTTCAGAGAGGATTTTACGAGATTTTACAGAGAGATCATGAAATAATGAGGAAATTGCAGAATGACATGATTGCAATCACGAAAAATGAGAACGCAATATTTCATTGCAAAGTATGCGAGAAATGTAAAATTAGAGTGTCAATTGAGCTGCAAAAGTGGTCTCTACCGCATGAGTCTGGAAGTGCTATCTGTGCAAGCTGTTTGTAGAATTTAATACTACTAATACTAATAGTAATAGTAATACTGTATATATACATATGGGGCATGCTGCAACAAAACCAAGGTGAACATTCTATTACGTGAGGCTGATGTGGCTGAAATTACTAATTAGAATACATTTTGATTATCGCAGTAATAATAATAACTTGTACACAAATTTCTATTAATATTATTATCTAAAAATTATGTCTAATCAATATTAATATTGGATTATCTCTACATAAAAAATATTAACATAAAATTAATTTACATTAAATCCACCATGGAACCAAAAAGTTACAGCACAATTAGATGCATTCTAAAGAAAGCTCAAGGTGAAACAATTGCCCCGTATGTTTTTAAAATCAATGATACCCAAACTCTCCAGGAATATCTAAATCAAGAAAATTTTATTTATAAATTTTACCAAAACGAGCGAAAAATAATAAACCATAAACGAATATTAACGTCAACTTATGATGAACCAAGGAAAAAAACAAAACTTGAAGAAATGTAAAAAGAATGACTCCAGCAGCCCATTTGTTGAATGGACTTATCCCCTGTTTCAATAAATTTATTTTAAGAAAGATAACAGTAGTTTTTTTCTTTACTATTACAATTAAAGTTTTAAGGATTTTGAAACCCGTGGCATGAGTCAGTGTGAGATCGAGTACATTTTTTGTGTTCTCAATGTGGAGTATCGTCAGACACTAAAGATCATAAGTGCAGCAGCTATCGCGCGAATATAATTATACTTTCACAACGCTTATATAATATCAGAGATAATAATATCTCTCATTCACATAAAAGCATCGGAACATAGCCTTATGTTGTTTAAGAAAGTTATTAAATGTTCGCTACGAAGGAACGCATAGTGAAACCCTACACTACGAGCTGACGGAAAGACTCGCCTTGTATTGATACAGATAATAATAAGAAAATAAATTAGTATTTCAGACTTACCGCATTCATACCACGGCAATCATATGATCAAATTGCCGGTTCACATAAATAGAGTTTGTTTCCGAATTGGGCATTCCAGTAGGAAAGTTGGTCTTCAAACTTTTTATTGCTGAATAGTTCCTAACTACAATGATTAAATGAGGGGATTTACTCAACGGCCAAAAGTTACAGAAAAATAAGCACCGAAGAACAAAACAGATAAGCAAAGCGCCAATTCAGAAGGAATTTATCATTGTATCGAACTGCAAAGATATAGCAAGAGGCTACACAGTTATTGAAACAAAAATCGTTTATCAAAAGACATAAATGTTATCTATCTTGAAACCTAAACTCAAATGGGTAAAGCGATACAAGAGGGCATTAAAAAAAAAAGAGCTTTTAAACAACAGATAAAAAAAATTATTCAACCGTGACATGCAAATTTTATTATGCAATGGGCTAGATAAGTACACAACGTAACTATTAATTGTGTAGTCTTTATTATTTTGCTAGAAAAAAACATATTAGTAAGCATTTATTTCTTTTGTCTTTTTAATCGATCATTTTGCTTTTTTGATTTTTCAGGTGTTGGTGGATTTGGCGTTACCATATGAACCTTCCGCTTTGCAAGTAATTTCGTTTTTGGTTCGATATGTGGCTCAAATTTCGTTATGCTGTCTTTCATGAAGGACTGAACATAGATAATTATTAGCGAAAAGACAATAAATGTGTGAAGCATAATCTTTAAGTGGTACTCACAAAATATTTCAAACATAATATTATCGCCTCGGATAAAACGGGAAGATCTTGCCATGTTGCAGGAATGCGAAAACTTCCATATTCGCGTAGGCAATATGATTTCGGGTGTATCGTGCACCAAAACAAAAAGACTTCATCGCGATGCCCCAGAGCCCCAAAACTCGCCAAGTTATTGTAATCTTTTATGCCGTTGTGAAGACGAAGAATTATTCGTTGATTTAGGACATCGCGCATGGTCCGAATCAACTTATAATCGTGGATGTAAAAATCAGTGATATCATCAACATCTGGTGGTCCTGTTTGTTCGTATATTAATATTTCTTCCTGGGTTCGCCAGAAGCGAGCTACGCCATCCGCACGTTTTGCACTCAAAACTTTATCGATGAATGGGTTGATGTTAGAATTACGTCGATATTTGCTGCTTCCGATTGGAACCTCAAGACTATAACAGATAATAACAATGTTAGTCGTTACAAATAAGTACTTCCAGGGATAAATCAAATTCGCTTACTCTCTCCAATCCACATCACAAACAGCTTCGAGTGTGTTTTTTAAAATGGGGATTACAAATTGTGAGCTGTATTGTTTCTCTTCAAGATCGTTGGATTTTAATATGTTAAACGGTGCTTTAAAAGCTTTAATACTACAAAAAATAAATACGTCACCATATTATATCATTAAATACACAAACACAGAAACATTGTAAAGCCTAAACATACTATGGTGAGAGTATGTTGTATAATGCATCTTTTATCACCAGATCGTCGTTACTTTCTTTTTCGTCAAAAAGTCCGCGCCAAGTTTTCTCCCATTCGACAAGAGTGTCTTTTGGCTAATAGACAAATAATCAGGATATTATCTAGTCCAAAAAATAATTCGCTATTTCTTAAATTATACCATGAAGAAATTTCGTATTGATTCTTCCCATTTATCTGATATTTGATGATCAGGATACGTATTCAAAATAAATTTCTCCCATGTTACTTCTGGAATAGTCTTTGTCAATTGTGAGGTGGGCCTCAAATCCATAATGTCACTATTGCATAGACTAATACCAATAACAATGAGTAAAACACACGTTCGTATATTACGAGGTCTGAATTTACTTACTCAAATTTATTTTCGCATGCGTCATAGTATTTTTCAAAAACTTCCTCCAAATCGACATCATCTACTATCAGCGCGCTGCTTTCCACCTTTCCGACCATGGACTCTACTGCTTTTTGCAAATAACTATTGTCGTCACCGATACCATCAGTTAAAATATCTCCATTATCCTCAAACGTTTGTGATTTTCCCGATCGAGCTCGCGTAACTGCACTCAAAGCGATTTGACTATCAGTTATGTACACAAAAATTGTAACAATGATAACCTTGTAACGGTATTAATAATTTAAGCCAAACATACCAGTTCGCATACTAGTAAACTCTGCATCCTGTAATCCTCGTTTTGCTACTTTAAATCCCTCCGTTTGAGGAACAAATTGCTTTCCCTCCTGTTGTAATGAGGTCCTAAATATGATGTCATTCCCAGAAGATTCTGCTTCATTACATTCCACAAATAAACAGGGATAGCCAATAGATAATAATTAAATGTCTGAATAAGCACAAAAACATTCTACCATCCTTCATATAATTCTACCTAATAGATTGCAATTGAGGGGTTCTTCACTATTAGCCTGACTTGTTTCCACATCTTCATATACGTAATTCTGTGATTCAAAAAAAAGGTGCAATTATTCAGTCTTGATTGGATATTGTGATAGCTAGACAATTGACTTTAATGTGAAGACAATACCTCATCTTTTTGGTTGTCAGCTTTATCGCCTGTGATTTCCGATTGTCCAGTTGATGTTTGTGCAAACGATCTTCCTGATTCTAATAATTTAGCAACTTTCTCACGTTCTCGTTTATCGTTATTACCCGTTTCTCGTAATTGATCAATAAGCTTTTGATTTTCTTGCTGATCCTAAAAGATTTTTGTTAAGTCGATATTTATCGTAAATATTAGTTTCCAACTTCATAAATCTTACCTATAAAACTGTAGCTGTATATGTGGATGTGACATTAAGTCGCGCTTCTTCGTGATATTCAAGATCTTTGATGAATTGCTTCACTTCAGCAGTGGAGAATAATGAGTTAAACTGAGATAAAATCTTCGTTGCTCGGTTTCTGGTATATACATGTATGTTACATTTTTTTGTATAACTTCGTAATACTGCAAATAGATCGTCCTTAAAATCATCGATTGTGGCCACGGATAATTTGGGGTTCGTGTTCGATCGCGCAAATTCTAAAATGCCGAGAATTGACCAGTATTTGCCTTTTGTTTTATCAAGATATTCCGTCACAACAGATTCAAACATCTACAAAAAAATTAATGCATTCAATAGCTGTTTATCCGCTTTAGTAAAAGCAAAACGTGGTAATGTTTACAGTCAACTGTATACTGGAAAACAGCATGCTGAAGCGTGCCCTAAACACGTATGCTTAAGGATTGTACAGGAGACTGTCCCCAAACATCTGAACGCAGGAAGATGTTGCCTAACGACAGTAGGTATAATAAACGCATCCTGGAAAACAGCCTGCTGAAGCGTGCCCTAAACACGTATGCTTAAAGATTGTACAGGAGACTGCCTCCAAACATCTGAACGCAGGAAGATTTTGCCTAACGACAGTAGGGATACGCGTGACTGTAAACTTTACCTGGGTTCAAAAGGCTATGAAAGCGTAGATTAACCGTATTAGCGTTAGAAAGATCCTATAGTAATAGCAGAATAGAGCGCGCTCACAAAATACGTGTCGGTGCATTAACAAATCAAATTTCGTAACACATTACACAAAATTAAGGGCGATACTATTACTATACTGTTACTATTACTATTAGATTTCGTAGGATCTTTATTGACTACTACAGAATCCGCTAAAGCTGCTTACTAATTTTAATACTAATACTAAATGCAGTCTTGTATCAATGCTCTGTATCTAATTCCTTCTTATTTTAGTAATGGTAATGGTAATAGTAATAAATGAAGGTGAGATTATATATACTGCCAAGAGTCCAGTCTTGTAATGTAAAAAGGCTGGAGCATAGTTTCAAACAGTCCATGTTAATGTCTCTATCACAGACCTGACCACTGCATCTTTAAGATTCAACATTCTCGATAAAATACAGAATGATTAACCAATCAGAATGCTTGAGATCATTGATGCCTGATTACGAAACACTTGGTTTTTGTATTCTCCATTATTTTGACACATGTATCTTTTTAGACGATTGCGATTAGCAATGTCAATATGAGAAATCGATCCACTGGGGTCAGCTTTATTGATACAAGAATATATGGGCCCATAAATGCCGGATAATACATGATAAAATATAATTACAAAAACATCTATCATTTGATAATCTTTTGAATACGACGTTTCTTATTTTCATGTTCGTCGCACATTGTAATCCTATCCTTCAATAACCCACGATCACCCCGATTATTTTTTTAACGCCTTCCGAATTGATTCAACATCTTTTCAATGCCGTTTTGGATAAATTAATCCGATATTCACTTTTGCTGGTACAATATAGGCCTTCCGTAGCGAGCTTGATAAAATGCCATTCCGTAGCTAGAAAAAGATAATC